GACAGGGAAAGACCAACATAGTGAATGTCTGTGTTCTTCCTTTTCTTCTCCTAAATGCCTAAGTGGGAACATGTACGGGGAGATGCCTCGCACAAGCAGTGGAGGAGGGTATTTGTCTCTCCTCTTTTCCTTTTTTTTTTTTTCCCCCCCTTTATTAGATGGATGGCAGAAGGGGTTATTGTGGACTATGCAAAAATTGTCAGTTTAGATGGAGCACATAATCCTCTAGTTAGCTTGTAGATAAAGATTTATTTAACAAGAAGTATCTCACAGCTGGTAGGAGGGCAACTTCAAGACCTGCTCAGGGACACCACTAAAGCCAGTCTGCTGGTTTTCCATTTCCCTCCTCCCAGCTGTACTTGATAAAACTAAACCCTGGCCAGCTGGGGTCCTTTTCCAGAGGATGCAGGAGTCATGATTTCTGCTTCCACTTCTGTAACTACTGCAGTGGTGCTGTTAGCTCTGCTTCCAATGTAATGCTTATTTTACAATGACATATACAGGGATCTCCTTAAACTTTGTTGACATGCAGCTGCGTCAGGTGTAGGATGCCACAGCAGTAGACAGCAAGTTTGAGTAGAAAGCATAAGGGAGATAGAATATTAATTTATAGTTTGGGTTATGGACTGGCAAGAAATACTATGATTCTTGCTGAATTAACTAGGGAACTGTGCTTCATGCTTTAGAAATTGTACCTTATTCTAATTTAAAGTCTCTACTGATCTTTCATGGCAGGTGAGCATAGATCTCAGTTTTATGTGGAAGAGCATCTCAAGCGATGGACTGTCTTCTGAACAGTGCCTTACTCTGAATAATAGTATAATTTCCTCTTTGGGGCACACTTATGATCTGATAAACTGGTAACCTCTGTTAATGTATATGTACAAGAAAATACCTCCTACCACAAATCCTAGAAGATAAAGGTCAAATTAACCACTTTAACTCATTGACTAATGAATAGTGAAATGACAGTTAAAATCTAAAATGTACATAAAAATTTATCCAACACAGGGTTATTGATTGGACTGGAAGGGAGCAGAGTGGAACAAACTCAGCACTGATTTCTCTCTCATTTTGTTCTTTAAAGTCCTTTTCTACCTCACACATGAATTAGCTTGTGGAGTGATTGAAAGCGTGAATAATGAGGGCCACTGAAGGTCATTAGGTAAACTTTTATGCCCTCCATATACATAGAAGAGCAAGCAGTCACTTCCCAAACGTGATTTTGCAGAACACTTCTTTTGGTATTTTTCCCTTTTCTCAGAGATCAATGGCAGTGCCACCAACTCCCCTTCATACTGCACGGGTCCTGCAAGAGGATAAAGACCACTGGGATGAAGTTAAAGTGAGTCAATCATAGTTCAGATTTCTTGAAGTCGAGTCTGGTAAGAGATTAGATGGGCTGGCTTCTCTGTGTATGCTTATTTCCTTGGAGATTATGGCTATTTTGAATACAACCATGTTAAACAAGAGAAGCATAAACAGTCCTGGTTAGAACAGTAGTGTATATGATAAATTCAAAAAAGAAGAATGCTATTTGAGCTTCATTCGACAGCCTTACAGCTGTGCCAAATACCAAAGAAGATGCTTATGAACAAAATTATTAATGATGCTACCTGCTGAGCCACTGTATATAACCACAGAGGAGGAGGGACAGTGTTGAGGGAGCTTGAAGTTCATTGTAGTGAAGTGAAGAATATGATGAAAATGTAGGGGGATGGGGTGGGAGGGTTGAACTGCATTCTGTTTTTCTACTCTGTTCTTGTGTTGTAAAACAACGTTAAATAACCTTAGCCTTGTCTTGTTGTGACATTTGGTGGGGGGAGATAAAAATATATCTGTCTTTCCCTTAATCTAACCAGGTACCTCACCTACTGTTTGTACTGATGACAGTTGAATGCTTCCTGCAAAGAGAAACTATAGGGCAGACTAAAAGTTGTTTGCAAACTTTAACTCTTTCCTGCTGGCCTTTATGAGTTTGGCATGTTTTTACAATTAATTCTGAATTTTTTGCACTTACAATTCGTGGCATTTTGATAATTGCAACATCCCTGTAGTATATTTTACTGATTACTGATTTATTTAAATTACTGATGTACAGTCTCAGCTGTTGAACTACATAATGGTAAAATTTCATAGGACCTAGGCAACATTTGCCTCCTGAGTCAGAGAGATCAAACAGATAGTTTCACTTAGTGTTCTTCATTTCCCTGCTTCTGAGAACTTCTTATACTTGTGCTTTGTATAGGTCCCAGAGGTATTCCCTTGGGCCACCAGCATTCCCATAATAGTTAATTGTTTTTCCTTTCCTGAACTAAATGCATAGACATTAAGTTAAGCAGATTTTTGCTCAAAGCCTTATTAAAAAGTTTAAAATTTGCCTGCACTTAAACATTGATTCAAACTAAGGAAGCATGTGAATTTGAAGCATGTACTTTTAAACAACTTTGTGCGGACTCTTTATTCTAGTTCCTGCTAACCTAGTTCGGTAACAGAGCAAGGAAAGCAGCACTCTGACTGGTATTAGCAGCCCGGGCTCAGTAGCTGGTGAAGGCCCAGAGCCAGCCAGTAAGAAATGCTGGGCATAGGGACATGGTGGAATTTAGGCCAGGTGGTGTGGTCTTGTGTGCTCACATATGAAACACTGTGTGAGTAGTTCCTCCTGAATGAGTCCATGAGTAGAACGAAGCCTTTAGTCATAGTCCAGTGCAGCAGAAAGGGCTCAGCTATTTCTGGCCGAAGTGTAACAGAGGGTTCCTTTTTGTACATTCATCTCCTGGCAGTAGTGTGGGGTGGCTGTGCGCTCTCTGTCTCAGGGTTTTCAATAAATTGCTTCCTTGGTTTCAGGAGGAGATGACCAGTGCTTTGGCTACCATGAGGGTGGACTATGATCAGGTGAAAATCAAAGACTTGAAAACATCCAACAACCGCCTCCTGAACAAACGCCGTAAGAAGCAGAAGCAGGCAGGCACCTCTTCTGCAGCCCCGGGGTGCAATAACCAATGAGAAGAGAAGCCAAGGACCTGTGGGTGGCGGGTAAAAGTTATAAGGAACAATTTAAAATCAGTATGATCAACTCAGTCCGTACCACAAAGGCAATGAGACCGTGAAGAAGCTATCCTGCAAAGGGGGAGCAGTGTGAAAGATTACATTTTTGTAACTTGAATCAGGGCTTTGCTTTTAAAGGCTAATGCATATGACATGATTCTGTTGCATATTGCTAGGGAAGGTACAGTAATACCAGAAATGTTACGGGTTTTTGTTTTGGCTTTAACTGTATTGGACGAGAGGAGAGAACAGGAGGCAGTCTCAGCATACTAATGCACTAGGGCTTTAACAGCCATCTACAAGAGTAACTTCTGCTGTCATTTTAAACTTGGGAATAGGAAAAATGCCAAGTGTTCTGCAAGGAGTGTTTTAGTAGTTCAAACATGAGTACTGAAAAAGGAGGAAAATGTCACTGCTCTTTATATGAGTAGTACAGATGCAGTTCTATTATGGACATCTGGACAGCATTTCATGTTAGAATTGGTAGTAGTTAATATTTCCAAACTTACCTCCTGTAGTTACAGAGTATCATCTAAACAGTAAACAGTTACTCCTGTTACAGGAAAAAGCATCCATACATTTCCATTTTCATAAAGTCTTCATGTAGTCGCATGTGAAGATTTGTCATGGATTCTCATTTGATAACATGTAAGTTTTCTAAACTGTAACCGTTATGTCGTGTCTATGCGACTGTCAGATCCCTCTCTTGTAGTGTTTTTAATTTAAATGGTCATTTATGTGAAGAGTTTTAATAAGGATTTAATTAGTTGGAAGTATCCTGCAGAGAATATTGCTGTTCCTCTTGGATTCACAATCTCTAGGATGTGCAACTGGACAAGCAATTGTATACAAGAGATTGCTCTAGAAGAGAGACTTCTGAAATTCAGGACGAAGTGGCAAATGCATGTTCACTGAATGGACCCTGGTGTCTGCCAGCATCCCTTCTGGTAATTATCTCCAGATCCTGTGCCTAAGATGTGCTGATAATAGCAAATTTTGGGGTGCTGGGGTTGGTTTGTTTCCTGGGGTCAGGGAGGGGGAGGATGCTACTTTATTTGCAGTGTTTTGTCAGTGTTTCTGGATCCAAAGATTTTCACCACCTAAGGGAGATTACCTATAAGTATGTCCACCCATTGTTTTTTTCCTATTCTAATTCTTGTTTTATGGGATCCTAAGTTTGGTTTGCTAATTTGTTTTACTTTATGATCAAAATATTTCCTCTCGCTTTATTTTGGGGGTTTTTTTTCAGTTGAGGTGAAACAAATATTTGTGAAAGTATTACCAGAGTCTAGGATGAAAATTATACGCTTCCAGCGATGCAGGCAAAAACTACTTTGCGGTAGGCACACAGAGTACTGGTGTGTTAATAGGCTCAGAAGAATGTTAAAAGACAAAAAGGAAAACAAAGCTCCAGAGAGGATCTGAATTGTCAAATCTGACTGCCACATAGATCTTGTTACCTCCAACAAAGATCAACTCGAGGCTTTGGACCTTGTCTGGGGAGCCCTGTTTGCATCTTCAGAGTGTTGGATGAGACGACCATTCTTCTTTGTGAACTGGTCCTAGGGTTTTATAAACCGATTTTAATAAATCGTGTTACAACGTTCCTTCTTCCTGTCATCCCTGTGTTTGTTGAGATGTTGCAGAGTTTGTATTGCTTTGCGAGGTACATCTGTGTTGAAGGTGATGGGAAAAGTGAGAAGGAAAGTGTTCAATGGTGTCCACATTCAAAGGCTACCCAACTTTGAGCATTTTTTAAGATTACAAGGGTTTGTTTTTAAATATCAATCTCTGCAAAGATGTATTTTTAAATTATTTCATGTTTATCTATGTATCTCTATGATTATAGCATGTCCTGTATATTTTATCATATTGCTCCTATGAATTATGCAATTATTATTCACAACTCGTAAATGATAGAACGAATGAAGAGTTGTGACATGTTCAGGGTGCAACAGTTGGGATTAGAGCCAGATCCAAGTTTCTGTCCCTTTATCCAAATTTTTTGAGGGTGCTATGTACATCACTCCTGCCTTCCCATCTCTGTGCCCCATCAGGGTGATACATGCTCCCACTATCCCAGTTAATAGGCCAACCTGTGTGTAATGTGGTGATGTCCTGGCTGCCTTGGGTAGAGTGGTATTGAAACTGTTGCAGCCCACGTTTTTGCTTCTGTCTTGCCCAGAGTTTGAGCAGGAGCTCTCAGTTTCCAGCTGGTGTCTTCTTGCTTGTCAGTTCAGTCTGGAGCTTGAAGACATGTGTCTGTTCCCGAGTTGTTTTCCATGGGGAACTGTAAAGCACATCTGGACCCGATTCTTTCCTGTGGGGTTCCAGTCTTTACCGCACTGCAGTTCAGAAGCTGGAGTGATGAAATGATGCACTTGAGCACAGCACCTTCAGCTTTCAGTCCCTGTATAGTAGGACAATACCTCATTAAATTTGGTCTAATAGTTCTTGCGTTCTACCCTGCAGTGACAACATTCAGGAATACTGTAAAGCCCGGTGGGAACCTGAGGAGGGCCGCAAAGTGGCAGACATGGAAGTGTATGCAAGTATTGTACAGAAGTGTTTGTGCTTATTTTACAGAAGAAAGGAGGCAACTCCTTGGGAGCTGGGAAGCAGCTGACGTGCAACGTATGGACCCTCAAACTGCTGTCCTGCTTGTAACGCAGCTGTCTTCTGTAATACAATGGGAGCAGCGTATAAGAGCTCTGGTCTTGTTTTAACCGTGTCTGAGTCAGCCGGAGCAGTGAGAATCCGCCAGGGACCAGGTTTGGGGGCTGTGCTTGATGCCACCCCTCACTGGGGCGCAGACGTTTCCCCAGCGGCTGCGAGGGCGGCCGCGGCGTTCGTGTGTCGATGCAGACACATACGCACCTCTATAGGCGCTGTGAGCCTGTGCCGGCGCGCGCAGCTCGGCGCCCCCGGCC